CTCGCCCCACAAGTCAAACACCAAGGTGTTGAAGGTCCGGTACCTTAGAAAGCAGATCAGGTAGTCGCCAGTTAGGCCTAACAACACAAAGAACAGCCTGTGATGGCCCGATTCAGAAGCGGGTGCCAGACCCCGCGACAATTAGGACTTTGGTAAGGCTTTACCTCCCCTATGGCTCGGCGGAAAAATATAGGTGCACGCACAGTTACTTGATCATATAAGAAATACAGCTGCCAGTCTGAGTCCATCAAGTCCTAACCGTAAACCTAACCTCGACCTTAGTTATAAACACTAACCTTTTACACAAACCTAACTGTGATCCTGTGAACTTCCCTCACTTCTATTTCTAAAAGTAACCAGGACTTCAGCCTAGCCCTAACCGTAATCCTAATCTCAGGCCTAACAGTCTGACACTGTGTTTCTGGCCATATAAATCATGACAGTCAACAAGGAGATATGCGGAAAAAACGTAACGCAGGCAATCAACACATTTGCAGATGACGTAGGAGTGAATAATTCACAGACTAGGAAAGGAGGGCGAACTTTTGTGCAGGGCGTTGACATGTTGGTTCAACAGCTTGTTTTTCACATAGGCCTTGCCACAGGACTCACAGGTACACTCGCGGTTCTCTGTAAAACAAGAAAAGCACGAAATAAGAAAAGACTGGACTGCTACTATTGATTTTTTACACGTTCGCAGGAAATAGGAAAGTTAATTACACAGATAGAAGGAGTATACTATTAAGGTACCAAATGGGTTGTCTCTGCAAACATTTTGCAATGCACGTATCAGATTCGGGAACAATCAGAAACGGTCAATCTTTCGCCGATCTTGTGCTGCTGCATGAAGCAGCTGCGAGGCACTCGGTTTATTAGCAAGTCTCTGTTGGGAATGTGCCCAGTGCCACAATAAGTCATCTTACGGAAAGGCCCCGAAAGCAACTCCAGCCGCTGTCATGAGAGCACGCCGTAGTTATCGATTTTTCGTCATAGCTGATTCGTCCCCCGTTGCCGAACGGAATAAATACCCCGCAGCCTTTTGTAAGAGTGACTTGACTTGTACTGTGTGAATACGCTTCGCCGTCTGACCGATTGACTTCTCTTCTGCCCTCGTGCGGGCGTTCGGGATACTAGGCGGGCCAGCTCGGAGTTCGTGCTAATTAGAAGTACCAGATGTAAGTCGTAACAGTCCCCAACGTTCATTGTGCGGTTTTTGATAAAGTAACTGCAGTTTCACCCTGCCTTGTTTACTTTGAGTAAATCCTCCGAAGCAAAGCTTTCTAAATCATTAGAAAACATGCGTGCCTGGAATTACGCTAGCAACTGTGCCGTCAGTATGGTAAATAATAATGCAGTATAGACTGCTAAATATTTGAGTTGGAAAATGATGATTAGGCCCTTCCAAGAATTCCACAGCAGCCCAACATGTATCTTCTGCAAAGCAATGTAAACAGTCTTCAGACGTTGCGCGCAGCGAAAGTAGGCCTCTTCCT